TAATTTAATCACGTTGTTGTCGAGATATCTTCGCTCAAAGTTTAAAAATATTTTAATTTACAGGGGGTATTAATAGTAAAATTTAAGTTGACGTACGGTCAAGACGGCTAAGCAGTGATGTGTTCACCGCCAAGCACAGTAAGGGTATATCAGCTTCCGAATTCGGTAACCATGAGATAATCCCAAGCAAGATTCCAGCTAAGTATAGCAGTATATGTCGATATAACAATGTGTCTACGTAACCGCACTGCTAATATTCTATTTACGACCCTGTCCCACCCTCCCACAGCAAAAAAGAAACAAAAACCATGAACAACAAACATATTTAGCAGGAAGAGCTCGAATCCTGCTATTTTCGTAGAAACTGCTTACGTTCTTTCATCGGTCGGTCTGCTTTACTCAGGCGGGAAACCACCGGCCAATGCTACGCCACACTGCTTCTGCTGCCTATGGATACCCAGCGCAATCTCGATTTTTATTTCCGGGTTAAATAAGGAATCAGCCCATATGTGTACCCCCCTGCTTATAAGATAATTGGTGGACTAACTAAAATATAACGATAATGATAATCTTAGTTTAAAAAGGCTGTTATGCTCTTTTCCGAAATGAAAGCTGATAGCGACGACGAGATATACTCTAGAGACTCTCAACAAAGTTCAGATGCTGAAGGAATTTTTTAGAGAAATATGGTATCGATAAAATTTTACAACCATTTGGTAGTAATGCTCCTCCGTCCATTACGCCAAATCAAAAAATTCAAACGATTGTAAAACCTATGACATAATTCCATTAGTAAGTTTATATTATTAACTTAAACTGGCGAAATTTTATTTATTTCTATTTGTTTAAAATACTTATTACACGCAGGTCGCGGCCATTCAAGCTTGTCACATACATTCACTTGACGTAACAAAAAATATGCGTTGGGTTTTTACTGGTGGAGAGGATGGATTTATAAGAAAATACGATTTTTTTTCTTCAATGAGAGGTAAAACTTTGTTAACACAAAATCAAAAACATACACAAGTTGAATTAGTTCAAAAGGTGCGGTAGGTAAAAAAAAATGAGATTGTCTACAAAAAGAGTTACTAGCTTATATCCAAGAATCTCAAATTGTAATATTCGCTAAAAATTTTTTTATGATCTATACATAGGCTGGTGTAATAGAAATACCGATATCTTTACCAGTTGTAGTCAAACCTGGTATGTCATAAACATATATATTGATAGTAATAAGGCTGTGACTCTTATGGTAAGGTGAGTACCAAAATGTTCCTAGTCACAACATGTAGTATCGTTAATATGAAAGAGTATATAACATACTTGCGCATTATTTTGAATTTCTACTAATCGTTATATATTTATTAAAGAATATAGGCGGTCCAAGCGAGTGACATCCCGCAATGCCTGCGTGAGTAATGTTTTGTATAAGGTATGACACCTACGATACGGATTTGTAGGCTTTGTAGATATCTTGTATAAGGCTGCGACACCCATAATAAGGCTTCGTGAGTGATGTCTTGTATAGGCTGTGACATCTATGATAAGGCTTCGTGGGTGATGTCCTGTATAAGGCTGTGACACCTACAATGAGGCTTCGTAGGTGATGTCCTGTATAAGACTGAGACACTTATAATAAGGCTTTGGGTGATGTCCTGTATAAGACTATGACTCCTACAATGAAGATTCGTAGGTGATGTTCTGTATAAAGCTGTTACTCCTATTAATTTTTATATATTAAAGAATATAGGTGATCCGTCAGATGAATGCCTGCGTCTGTATAAGGTTGAGAAGGAAGGTGTCACCATGTCATGCGACAACATAAATCACCTGTATCGGCTTTGAAGATAACTAGTGATGAGACAAGCTTTGTGAATAGCTTATAGGACAAATCAATATTGGGTAAGTCTTTTTATATTATTATTTTTTTGACGAACACGCTTATACAAATTATGACAATTATAGCATTGGGATCTAAACACCGGCCTAGTTGCTCCCAAATTAGTTCAGTACATTTCGACCGATTACACATTCATCACCATCATCTCAAGCATCAATACAAAGTTCTCCTACATCACTTGAAACCGTGTTTGAAGAATCAGATTATACAATAAATCATTTTAGAGACATATTACTTACTACGAGCATTGACGATAATTGCTTTATATGGGACAAAAGGCTAGCAAATTTTATACCGAGAAAGTTGCCAGTTCCAGAAAAAACGCCACCATGGTGTTTATCAGTATGTTTATGTAATTCAATTTCATATAAAGGTTTTGCCTCTTTTTAATTAGTATCTTAATCGAAAAAAAAACTTTTTTTAAATCATAGGCTTGTTGGAGTGCTGATGGTAATAAGATTTACTGTGGGCGACGTAATTGAACCAGTGAGCTTATATATTAAGTAAAGGTCTTAATATTATATAGTAAAAAATTCATGGTTAGTGGATGAATGGAATTTTGCTTCAAGGAAATTTGTTCGTTCATTTAAAATGCCATGACCGGTGTTTTGTGTAGCTAGCATGCCTAATAATAAACATATTGTATGGTATGTGTTTCTTATTTTTTATATTGATAAAAAGATATATATTATTATCGTAATAACATATTCATAAATTTAATAGTGCATCGACAGATAATATAAGATTTTGGAATTTTGACGAATCTGATACTGCAAGATCAATTGTTCCATTTCTTATCATTCCAGGTTATCATGGTGGAACTATATCACAAATCTGTATCCTTTCAATGTATATATGATACTTGTAAGCTAATAGTTATGAGCCACTTCGTACCTCATAGCTAAGCAGGATTGGTTGATTTTAAGTATAATAATAATCATAAAATTAGACCAATCAGATCACATGCGCAAATAACTGTGAAGCACCATAGTGCTTTACTAATTTATCCCACACTTCACTAATTAGATTAATAATCTAAATGCTCTGACAAGTGAATATTTAGTACAGCTAATAGAAGTGGTGGATAAATTAGTAATCCTTTATAACGTTAGTATTGCAAACACTATGATTCCAATGTTATGGCCGCACTTTAAAATTGTGTTTCCAGCATTTATGTTATTGGAATTTGCATTCCACCTTTGTTCGGCATTTGAAAGTTAAAAATCTTATGCTCTGAATTATTTTCAATGTTGAACTCGAGTGTATAAAATTTATAAAATATCAAATGTTGGATTATATAGTTGGTAAATGTAAATCCGATAAATATAAAATGCTGGATAATTTTATTTATTGGATCCATAATTCAATTTATTTTTAGTGATAGATCCATATGATTACAACTTCCGGAAAGAGGGGATGGGAAGGATCAAATACTGAAGCCGCATTATTTTACGAAATTATTCCGATTGTTTGAATTAACGAGTTAATTTTTTTGATTCATAAATTAATGTTTTATTATATGTAAATGATGTTTTGTTCTGATTATAACTCTATTCATAAATTCATTATTTTTCAATGTACTGCTGTACAGAGTCCTTAATAATTTAGATTGAAATATCACAAGTCTTTGAATATGTTTTTATGTCCACTATTGTTTATGCAGTATATAAAAAATCTATAATTGTATACAGTATAATATATTTCTAATATAGTAAATATCGATATAGAGTTATATAAAAAAATATTGGATCCACTTTTATTTAATTATGATAAAATACGAATTAGAATTTTAAATTACTATAATAAGAATAAATCAGATCCAGTCAGTAAGAACCTGGCTAAATTCGATGTTTAAGACATTTATCGAAATATTTTGATTCAAAGTTTTAAAAAAATTAATTAGTGATATGGGCCGATGAAAAAATCACGAGCCGAGATACTGTGTTGTTCATAGGTTGTAAGTACATGAACTTTTCTATTATTCCACTTGAGAGTATAGGCTTTGTTTTTTTAGTTATACGTGGCATTGACTTTTTGTAACCAGTCATTTCTAAGTAAGAGATTATAAGAGGTAGAATCTATTACTTCTATATCTAGAGGTACTGTTATTCCTTCAATTTCTATAGAGAGGTCTTTGATTATTCCTAGAGGTCGAACAGAGGGTCTTGTTGCAGAGACAATTAGGCTAGTAGAGTAGGTGTTAATTTTTAGTTCTAGCTTTTTAACTATCTCATAATAGATCATGCTAATAGAGGCATTATTATCAATTATTGCTTGGTAAAGTTGGTTTCTGATTCTGATATTGCATTTTATTGGCAGCAGTTTGATTAAAGTTGACATTTTGAAGAGGTTCTGAGAAATATTCATTTATAGCTATTTGTAATGATTCTTGGAAGAAGAATAATTCAAATTGTTTATAGCTATAGTTATTTGCTGTATCTACAATATAAATATCTTAGAAGTATAGAGTTAAGAATTTTTATCGAGATCTATTTCTAGATTTATCTCAAGATTTATCTCTAGAGTTATCTCTATTTCTATTATTTCAGTTATAGCTAGAGTATTAGTTTCTAGATTTGTTTCTTTCATAACTCAAAAAGTAATTATTATTATAGCAATTATAGTTTTGAGATCTGTTTCTTTTTCTTGATTGAGAGTGATCATAAGAGTAATTATTGTTATTATTAGACCTTCTATCATTAGATTGATAGTTATCATTGTTTCAAGAGTAGTTATCTAAATAGCAAAAATCTTTATAAGGTTAATTCCTATCATTATTACTTTTTCTAATATAGCAATCTTTTATATAATATCCTTAGTTATTACAATAGTAACAGGTAGCATCTCATAAGAATTTATTATTATTATTGTTGTTATTATTATTGGATCAGTTATAAGAAAACTTATTATTAAAGTAATAGATTAGTTTAGAGATAGAGTTATTCTGTTTTTTGATAAGGTTAATACTAAGATTAGCAATTTGCTTAGTTAAACTTTTAATTACTTTGTTAGTATTATTATAGATTAAAAAGGTTATAAGTTGTCTTGTTTCCTATTATTGAGCAATAGTAATAGCATTATTAAGAGTATCTAGTTCAAAAGCTTATATATTAATGCAGTACTAGTTTATTTTTTGTAGTTTATATCAGAAGCAATTATGCTTATATTGATATAAACAAATTGGTTTTATTGAGTACTAGTGAGAACAAATCTCCTACGAATGCTAAAGTTTTTATAATATAATCTAGTTTAACACAACACTTCATTGAAACTATAATATCAAGGTTATAAGTTTTTTTAAAGATTTATATAAACTGCACTAGCTAGGAATAAAGAAACTATTTAAGTTTGTGTTCATGAAAGTTAAGATTTTAATATGTAAATAATATATATATCTCAGATTTTGCTAACTAATTTTGTATCATAAAAAATATAAATTTACTAATTTTATTTATAAGATAGAGATAAATTCTCACTAAATATAATCTTTTGAAACTTATAAAAAAAAAATTTTAATGCAATATTCATTTAGTAATATCAGTTTAAAATAACTTATACTGTACTTGATAAATAACTTGAAAGTAGTAGGTAATAGAAATAAATATAGAAAGTAGATTTTAATAGTAATAGTAGATTCTTCTAAAGTTAAAAATATATAGTCACAGGTCTGGTGATCTTAGTGTAGTAGTTAGGTTACCAAATTACTATATAAGAGATTTGGGTTCAAATCCTACTGTCAACAAATTTGAATAATTACTTAGACCTTTATACCTAACTTACAGTAAACTCTGTCTGTTTCTGGAGATTACAACGCTATAAATCACATTGCACTAATATTAATTGGATATTAGAAGTGTGATGCAATGCTTGAGGTATATTGCACAAATAAATCTTGATAGAATCTATGAGCAGAGGATCTGTATAGTAGAAATTCTGAGTTTGGTAAAGTAGTACAAATTTTAGCAATCAAGCTGATTAACACCTGATCTAGTAAAAAACCTAGGTACGAAGGATATGAGATCGATAGATGCGAGTAAGTCCACTATGTAATATAGTCTGGTACTTTGTATTAGTAGCAACACTAACTTGGCTTAGTAGCTAACTAGATTAGGAAGATCTACCTCATGAAATATCTGGCTGGAACTTAGAAAACTATATCTAGTGGAGGGCTACAGTAGGAACTAAGTTCATATAAATATCGACAAGGGTAACTATAAGTTTTCTAATTAAGTAAGTACTGTAATATAGAAAGTAGACCAAAATTCAGAGCAAGTTTATAAAAACTCGAAATAGCATAACATACTAGGCTAGTAGTAGTAACATAAAAAACAAAGGTACAATAGTCCTTCAGAATATCAATTATATAGTAGTAGTACATCTATATTATAAAATCTATAACTGGAAGCAACTTATATTGTGAAGCATATTCTGAACTCTACTAACATACAGAAGTACTTATAAATAGAAATTAGTATACATACAACTTATCTCTAATGTTATATTCAGGCGAGTTCATATCTTAGAATACTATTGTCATAGCAACCCAAACTGCACTAAATTGTGAGTAGCTATGAGGTTACGAATGCTTCATCCAGTTACCAATTTGGGAGTTATTTATAAGGAGTATGAGAGATATAGTGAATATAAAACAGTAGTCTTACAAGAGATAAAGTACTTATAGGAATCTAGATAATAAATAATGTAGGCTATAAACTACTCTAGTAGGTCTTGTATGAAGATAGATAGTATATATTAGTACTATACATCCTAAGCTTAAATAAGAATATATAGAATTAGTTTGAAATTATAATATGTATATTAGTTGTAATGAATAATGTAATTCTTAATAAACAAAAGTTGAGCTAAGTATTCACCTTAATATCAAAAAAAAAAATGTATAGCCACAACTAATCAAATATTAACCTTAATCCTATATAATATTAAAGAAGTAAAAAATAACTTTTGGAGAATTGAGTGATAACTGATTTTAATATAGAAAATTAATAGTGTTTTTTAATATTTTTAAAGAAATTATATATAGTTCTGAATCTGAAAGCCTATTAGAATCTGAACTCAAAAGCTCATTAGAACCTAAACCTGAAACCTAAATAGAATCTAAACCTAAAAGCCTATTAGAATTTGAATATAAAAACCTATCAGAATCTAAAATTTTAGATGTTGAAAATATAATAGAATCTGATAATTTAATTTTTCAAAATAGTCAAACCTATTTTTCTCTCAAAGCCTTCAAGTATGTTGCTGACTATTATACAAGTATAAATAGATTTAATAATTATTTACTATAAAAGCAATAATCATGGTGATTATATATATCATACTCAAGTTTTTACATATGATTGATATGAACAATTCAAACCCAAAAATAAAAATCTAAATATAGCAAACAAAAATGTTAAATTGAAAAAGTGTAGTTGCTTGTAGTCTGTTTGTCTTAATTATAACTAAGATAAGGATAAATATTGTATTTTACAGGCTATACTCTACTACAACTATTTACTAATTCTAGTTTAACTTATGCATTTCTCACTTAATAATCATGAAATACCAGTTGTTATTAAAAAAGATATATTACTCTTAAAAAAAGCTAAATTTCAACATCTCAAATTTAATCACTACTAATAACAAAATATGGACTATTTGCAAAAAACTAGATAATTCAAGATATATATAATTTAATTAGCAGTGACCTTATGTCATATAATGAATTCTAAGCACATGATTTTCTTCTTCTTCTCTAATAAAAACATAGAATGATCCTGAGTTTTCTTTTGAATTTAAGTTAGATAAGAATAACTGATTGAAATATATAATCTGAGCATATCTATCATAAAAGTGATAATATATACACTTTTATGACACAATTGTATATAATAATATATACAAGTATAATTATTTTTCAATACTATTTGGAGTATTTACAGGTATTATAAACTATTGCCTTTCTTATTGTACAGCTGGTACTCTGCTTTATGATGAAACCTATTCAAGTTTTGAGTAGCTTTTTGAAGCATTTATTTGTATTTTTAGTACTATGCCTCAAACTATTTTTATGAACAATGATCTCTTAATAGCTGATACTATTTGTTCTTTTTTAACTAATAAATATAATACTAAGTATAGACTTTGTATATAGCATATACTGAAGAATATTAGATCTAATATGATCTTTAAGATTATATCTAAATATGATGTTTCATACAGATCTCATAAAATGTCTTGACTATTGTATTAATTAAAGTAAATTTGAGGATTATTAGAATAATATTATGAATAATAAAAATTATGCAGAAGCAAGATCATATTTAGAAGCTCTTAACTAGTAGTGTAAGAAGTAGGTTCTAGCCTATCTAAAAGATTTTTTTTTTGCAAACATGACTTTAATACAAAGAAGGGAATTGATGAATAAATTGTTAAAAAAGTTTCTTAATAGCAAGATAATACTCTCAGATTTTT